TGATCCAATCACATGTAGCAGCAGTGCTAAGTTCTTTGGTTATAATAAGAAGAATCCTTGCATTTGATGTTATACCTTATCATGTTGTCGAGACGTCTCAAAGCTGATTTACGTCAAGTTTAGTGACTATTTTGGAGATCAAATCAGCATTATCACGTAAGTAGTAAGTGACATAAAAGCTCTATATAACTGTGTTAAGAGTGCTTTAAGTCTGTAATTTGGAATGTCAACAAGAATATCACTAATCATTGAGGCTTTTACCAGATATTATACCCACTGTATGAAAGTAAGAAAAAGAAACAATCCAAAGTTTGTTACGTGGAATATGTTTAAAACAGTCATTCCGTTTTGGACCATAATATTTACAGTCAATATCTTAATGCTTTTCCAGCTCTTCCCTCTGGTATGTTCTGTTACTGAACAAATATTCCTTTCACAGCCTCACTGCGATATTATACTTCAAATAAACAGATGTGGGGCAATATTTATCCGTCCACTATGCGCACTGTTTATGTAGTATCAGCAGAAGCTTAAATCATTATTGATTTTGCCCATGTGGTGTTCTATTGTGATTGACGATTCTAAGGCAACCAAAATATTTACCTCCTGCTACTTCGTAACTCACATGAATTCGAACTTATTAACAAAGCAACAACAAAATTACATTTATAGAGCGCCTTTCACATCGGGAGGACGTGTTCTGTATCCAATCAAATGTCAATGGCAAACGCACAGCAACTATTTGTGTATAAATGAGATATCAATATCTGTATCTTAGCCTAATTTTCATTCTGCGCTGACTTTGAATTCTCTCAAATCTCTCTATCGCTTTGTGACTACAGTACAATAATGTTTGAAATACTGTCATCAGCATAATATATCAAAAAACACTAGTAGAATGATTAAGCAGCACTTATGTTCCGAAGTCTATTAAAATAATTTTCATCCACTTCACAAAGTAACACAGAAACAACAGAAATGCCTGTCGCACGTTCTCGTACCGAGCATGTAGCCCAAACAAAACAAATGCCCACTGTTCAAAACATCTAATAATGATAATCCTTGCACTTGATATAGCGCCTTATCACATCTTCAAGACATCACAAAGCGCTTCACAGAATACACTGTAAAGTGTAGTGACTGTATATATATATATATATATATATATATACACGATTCCTCATCACATTCCAGGGATACTTCAGAAATATGCATTTAAAAGCAATTCTCAAGGCTACATATAGAATTGATGCGATTTTGTGCTGCAGATACTGAATTACAAATCCTTTGCCATTTACAATCAGAATCGAGTTCTCTCTCACAAATTGCTTCTCATCAGACTTTAAAATGACAAGTTTAAACAAATCTGGATAAAAGATCTCAGATAGCTGTGATTATTATACTATATATTATATAAAGAAAAGTTCAAATCCCAAATTGTACCAGATGGTTTTTCTATGAGTTTTTGAAGTTGAAATCATCCTGAAATCTAACTGTTCGGACTTTCTCCTCCTACTTCCCACCCACAAAAAAAAATTAAAAAATAATGAGATTACAAAATACAACGATCGCCAAAATATAATTTTACTTTAGCAAGACTTTCAAAAAAATACTAGACAAGCCGAAAATACAAGGTTATTATTGAAGGGAATTTACTCAATCCTTCTTTTTAAAGAATGACGCTTTCAATTCAGAGCACTTTAATATCTTTGTAGGCCGTCCATTTACTCAAGTGACCTTTGTTTTTGAGCTCTCTGATGTCTGAATCAAGAAACGTGCAAATATGTTTAGATCGAAAATGTGAAGCCTGACTTATTCAGTTTCTCGGATTGTGCAGAGCCCGAATAATAAAGACCATTGAACATAAGGACAAAAGAATCTACCAGACAAAAGACCAAAATCCATCCAGTTCGCCTTGCACTCTGCTGACAGTCACTTGACAGGTCTTTTCCCAAACCATACACTGTATCCCCAGATATTTATTTTTTAACAGAAATCTATTCTGTTAGATTCTCTTCAACCGTGCCTTCAGCTCCCCTCTCGACTCTCTACCCCCTCCTCACTCCCTCCCTTCCCTCCCCTCACCCTGACCATTTCCCCCCTCCTCGCTCCCTCCCTTCCCTCCCCTCACCCTGACCATTTCCCCCCAATGCTCGGGTCCTGACCCAACTGTCCAGCGCCTTGGGACGTCCTCCCTACGTGAAAGGCGCTCTATAAATGCAATCTTGTTGTTGTTGTATCTAATTTGTTCTCGAAACAAACATCACTTTCTGTTTCGACCGTCTGTCTCCCTGGGGAGCCTGTTCCATACGTTTACTGCTCGCTCACTGAAGTAGTGTTTCGGCAGATTTATTTTTAATTTACCCCCTTCAATAGCAGGCCGTGTCCTCTGGTGCTCCTGCTACAACACTTGGCTTAAGGGAGTTGTGACTTACAATGTAGGGGACTTCCTTCTGGAAGCAAAACAAAGCTTTTTGGTGACTGGTAGAAGCTCAATTGGAAGCAACAACTGATTCAATAAGAGTGTATCAGAGAGAGAGAGAGAGAGCGAGATCAGTTTAAAAAACACACTTCCTGGCCTTCCTTACCTGTGCTTGATTTATGAAACGGTTAAAATACCATGTCCCAATTATCAGCTTTTATCTTCACACCACAGCTGAGGTGCAAAATAAAATAAATGCAATGTTGAAATTGTCAGGTTTCCATCAAGCTAAGCCCAATTACTTCTGTGGTCGTTTCCATCAAGAGAAACGAAGTGGGCCCTGACATTTAACCTACAGTACGTAGGGATCTGATGATGGGAATCAAAAGAAAAATGCTGTATAGCAAAAGTAAAATGCATCAAAAACAATTTCAAACAGCAAGTTTAAATAACCATGCTGAGATCTAACCATTTTCCATCCAGCACATACCTAAAAGCCATCATTATAACACACTGAGAATCGTGACAAAGTTGATGTGCCTATATAACATTAAAACGTGGCAAGGAATTTCACAATACTGCATTGTCTTTGCAGAAATATGAAATGATCAAAAGATTTCGCAGAAAAATATTACTCCAAGACAAGGAATAAACATACACCCACTATAACATTAAACCATTTTTACATTTATTGTTTCATTTAAAAATAATTAGACACAATACCTGATAATTGTGATTCCTTACTGTTATTAAATCGATGGCTGTTCTAGTCAATGCATTTGCAACACTGAGTGGAGATACCTTTATGTTGACACCACACTTTATTGTTTCTCTTTGTGAGAAGAATCATGAACGTCCTTATCACTCCAAGATACTGTAAGAAAGAGTCTATTCCCTCTCCAATTATTGTCATCAACTATCATTATCTGCTGACGGATAGGAAGTCGTGTTATTTAATCACACGTTTGCAATCACATGTCAATAATTAAAACTAAGCTTCGAGTATGTTGTGCATTTATGATGAAGACTGTAAAGAAAGATGCTTTGAAATCTAGTGGCCCGCAACGAATTAATAATTTAGGACATAATGAAGGCATCCCATAGAATCTGACCCTAAATCTCAGTTAGAAATGTGCAATTCTTAAAAAAAAATTTCCATGATTTTGATTTCAATGGATTTTTTGTAAGTAAAGTGAAAACTCATCTTCACCCATACAGAAACATTTAGAATTCACCGAGTAACAGCAACAACAAATTTCATTTACATAGCGTCCTTCACCTCGAATGGCATCTCAGAGTGTAACCCAATAGATATGTGTTGGGAGTCCAGTATTAAAACGTGCCTACATTTTGCGTTTCCAGCTCAGGTGTTTGCTAAATGTAACAAAAGATTACTGTGAAGCCTTTGTTTTAAAAAAGAAAATATTGCTTTGATTTTACGTTAAAGAAGGTAATTAATGACTGTAACCAAAGGAGGGAGACAGTAAGTCTGGTCACTTTCAGCTGTGCAAAATCTCCCTTTAGCTGTTCAAGTTGATCTATGCAGTCATGTGTCATAGGTCTGATCAGCAAACCTCGGCCCGTTGATATACCCTAAAGATATGTTCTAATGAGCAATACTATACCAGCCACTACAGCACTCGTCAATTTTTAAGAGATGAGATTCTGAACATTTGGTTGTTGACACAACTCAAGTGATAGAAATCCAAGGGCACTACTTTGAGAAAAATATCTTAAGTACATCAATCCTACACTGGATTTCTGCTCTAGATCAAGCAACTAAGATGTCAGAAACAAACCCAATGGCATCTACAATGGCATTTTTAAAAACGTATAAAGGGCTTTAAAACCATAGTAACAGAGTAGATCTTATCCAAGTCACATTATTATGATATCTGACAGAAGAATTAATGTGCCAGATCTATTTTGGGTTTTTAGCCACTATCTAGGTATTATTACTTTGAATAATAATGTGGAATATTAATTTTCTTAATATTGTTAAATGTGTCATTTCTTCTGGACCGCTGATAATATACAATCTCAGACACAAACTCAATAAGAGAAACCGGAGAAGGTGGTGTAATGTGCCTCATTATAATACTGGTTCACATTGGCTGGGAAAAATCTATAAACATTTCAACCCTAAACCATATAATCAAAATGAAAAAGGCTCGATTTTACAGCTAACATTGTACAAGACTTCTTGAAGTCTGCTTTGGAGCAATCCTGAAAAGGTTTATTTTACATACGTTTATGTAGACTGTACAATCGGAAACAGATCATTCAGCCTAACTCGTCCACCAATATTTGTACTCTGCACAAGTCTCCACTCACACCTCCCTCCCTCCCTCACCTTTCTATTCCCTTCTCCCTCACCCGTACATCTGGCTTCCTCTTAAATGCATCAAAACTCTTCTGCTTCTTGGCTTTTTAAGTGGTATGTTTTGCTCCACTTTACACAGAATCTCAGATGACAATTGAGATACTCAAAAGTTATTCAAAGGTATCCGAGCTCATTACAAACAAGCCATGAATTCTCACAAATCATTTCCCGTTGTACAAAGCTAATGCTCCTTACCTGATTTGCAAAAGTTCGGCAAAGGCCTCACTGCCAGCCAGGACATAGCTGATCCCAATTGAGATGCTGGAGAAAATCAAACCAGAAATAAACACATTTATTTAATTTGCTCAAAAAATACACAGTCAATCAATCCACTTTGCAATATTTCCTGTGCAGCGCTTTGCGATGTCTCAATGATGTGATGAAGAGCTGTATCAATGCAAGGATTATTATTATATTTTTATTGTATTTTATTGATTTGCAGACCAATATTTTTAATCAACACAATACCGGATCATTGTGCTAATATAGGCTTCAAGTAAAACAAGACTTTAAGCTTTAAAAATTTGCAAACAATATTTAACGTTGTTTTGTCAGGAGCCATTCACATGGCATTTGGCATTTCACTAAAAGCAGCATTTTAACAACACCTTTTGTGTCTCGAGACCATCTCTATTATGTTAGTGATAGGCGAGATGGGTTTTTTATTATGCATTAGACAATCTTTCATAAGCCCCTCATGTTCTCTCTGATAGTCTAGAAAGAATCCTTTTTATGCTGAACCCCCATTGAGTTCTGACCATCGTGACCAGAATAAGACAGTTTAACGTGCTACACACTTTCCCCTTGCCTTATATCTGCCAGTAGCCCCTGTTTATAAATGAAATCTTGTTGTTGTTGTCTTGTTGTTGTTATTGTTGACGTAGACAATAGGAAAGCTTTTATTGCCCCACACATCATCGATTGACACTTTTTTCCCCCCTCAAACCAAACATTTCAAAATATAAATTGCTAGTGGTGAATGAATAATTTTCTAATCACTCATAGATGGAAAATAATAGATTCACTTAGAGTAGGTTAAATGTAAATTAGTCTACAAATACTACATACTAGTATCTATGTGCACTTCACTAATGAGGTCCGATTTCCCTGATGCAAAGTAATTAAACTTTGAAACTTGTATATGATCCCAATGTTGAAACTGTTGCAGGATTATCAAACAACAGATCACGCCAATTTAATCTGAGAAGCACAGCGATGGCTGAGAAAAATCTGATACACAGAGCAACACAATTAAATGGATTTTTTTAAAAATTTGATAAAAGGATTAAATCCACACAAAACAACTAATGAAGTAACTTTGACACACACACACATTCATGCAAACAGACCCATGGGGATGATAGGCTCTTTGCTTGTAGAAACATTGTAATGTAGAACTTGGTAAATTACAAAATGTTAGGAATTTGCCTTGTTTTTCATAGATTGCAGTTGCAGTCAGTATAGTTAGCACTGGTCCAGAAGTAGAGGATGCTGGTCAAACAGAATTAAGTAGCGCTAACATATTAATGATTATGTTGGACACATCTTGACTACTAACAAGATAGCATCTTGCAGCTCATTACAAAAAAACCTCTCTAGTCCCTTTAAATGACTCCAATCATTTGATGATCGTTAAGAGACCTTTTTCTACGCTATCTGCATGCGAAAAATGTATCCCTTGGGATAGCAAGTGACTAAACACAGCAATCAAGAGCACACCATATTCCCAACTCCTTCACCATTTATACATTCACAGTTGCCGCTTGAACTTAACTTATCCTGTCCACTCTGATTGTAATCCTAGGCAAAGCATTACACAATGTATAATAATTACCCCTTTCCTTCTTACTCCAGCCTTCCTAACTGTTCAAGTCATCACCCTCGGTTTTTTAAGGCGTCGCCACATTGAACAATTTATCTGTATTGTCTTTGAATAACAGGTTGCAGCATTCCCTGTCACATACAAGTTCCACTGCAGTATTAATAAAAGCTAAGACTGAAGATGTAAAAGCTGTGTCACTAAAGTTCCCGCAATTGTAGATACAGCTAGTGTTGTAGTGTAATGAGTATTAGGGGGGAGATGCATTGATTGATGAGGAAAAACCTCCTCTTCTCCCTTCAGCTCAAAGTCCTAATGTGGGCTAGAATTCACAGGAGGTGAAAGAACTGAGATAAATTGCTCCCATCTCCAGAACAGACACTGCTATAATAATAGTAATCCTTGCATTTGATACAGAGCTTTTCACGTCTTCTAGACATCTCAAAGTGAAACGCAGCAGCCAATTACGCACAGCAGTGTCCCACAAACAGTCATGGATTGAAGTGACCAATTTATTAATTTTTTTTGAGCGATTATCATCAGGTGTGTGTGTGTGGAGTAAGGAAACTCGCCCAAGGTTTTGCAAACCCAGGTCCTCTCGCTTGTGAGGCGAGTGCTTTAACTACTGAGCTACAGGACTCCATCAAAAAAGGAGTGGGAGCTGAGACACTGGTTAAACTGGTTGGCCCCAGTGAGATAGGCATTTCCTTTGATCAACTGGTAGTTATGAGTTATGAACTAGTCCAGTTCTGATGAAGGATCGTGAACTCAAAATGTTGACTCACTTTTTTTCTCCATTGTTGCTGCCTGACCTGCTGAGAATTCCCAGTCACTTCTGTTTTTGTTTGTTGGCAGTTATGAGGGTTAGTCTAGTCACCTAGTAATATTGGCTATTGACAGTGCATCATCAAGGTTATTATCGCCACAAAACTACTGTGATTATCAATCCAAGTATCGTCTTAATTCTATCAGCTCGAACAAAATCTGGTTCAAATGAGTGGTAATAGCGCTAATTTGATATATCTGTTAAGAGATCAGTCTGTGCAACTTTATTAAGTTAATTGAAGTTAATTGTATCTGCCCCCAATAATGATTCAAGGAGTTTTCAGCATTTAATACCAGGGGTCAACTGATATTCTTGCACCCTCCTCAGAAATGTAAATTATAATAGGAAAAATGGCTATGATATTTCAGATGGTATTTAACCAAAGCAAAATTACAGAGACTGATATTGCATCTTAAGACACAAAAGTGAGAAAACCAGATAGCTTTTCTCATTTATAAAACACAGCTCCAGTCAGCCTAGTATTAGGATTGCATGGATTTAATTAACACGCCATTCACACAGTAAGATAATTCTCCATCTGAAAGAGGCGATGGAATGCAGAAAGAATGAGGGAGGAAACTACTGCATTATAAGCTATTATTGACAATAACAGTTTCCAAATATTTAAATTATTTCACTGCACAAGAGCTTTCTATATTCGTACCAAATTACTATGTAATGGCAGATGTAAAGATTTTAACACTGGAACCTCAAAGAAATGATAAACACCCACAGTAAAGACTGTGGCATCTGTCAGCTGCAGAAGGCCTACACATAATTACCTGAATATTGATTGCGTAGGTGAAGTGGATTGTTGTTTAAGTCTCCATGAAGGGGGCTGTAATGATTCTGGCAAGACAGGTTTCATTTTAACTGATGAACCAACCCCAACAAGAGATCTCATCAGAAGGTGAGCTCAGTATAAATCAAAAGATATTTACACAGACTCTCTTGAAGTCTCTCATCTTCGTGGGGGGGGGGGGGGTGCGGGAGTTTGTGGAGTCACAAGTGCTCAGCTCGCTGGAATGCTAAGCTGTTTATTTCAAAGAACACACAGATACACACACATACGCACAGATACAAGGTTTGTACGCAATAAGTCTTGAACCCTAACCCGAGCAAACTTGTGTACGATTTCATTTGCAGATAAGACTTCCGTGCTTTCATTAACCTTTTCTTTTTATGAGCAAATCAGTTGCAGCGTCTGCCAGAGCCAAGCTCAGCGGGATGCACGGCAGTGACATTTTCAATACCGGCAAAGAATTCAGCTTTTGTGTCATAAAACTCCATCATAGGCTTTTGTCATTCTCAGCAGGAGAATATCCAGCAGACTCCACGCTCACCTTCCACAGAGAAGCAGCAGTAATGAACACATTGTGATTTATTGGTTGAAGTACATCAAAAGCATATACACACACACCATACACACACCCCACACACACACCCCCCCCACCCCCACACCCCCACATACACTCAACCACACACCCCCACACCCATACGCTCACCACCCCCCCACACCCACACATACACACACACTCAACCACACCCCCCCACCCACACACTTACCCCCCCCACACATACCCACACACACACACTCACCCACACACCCCCACCCCCACACTCACCCCCCCCCCCCCCACACACACACCACGCATGCACGACAAAACCTTTCTCCTTTGGACTCTGATTTTAAAAGCAACAGGTTATGCAAAAAATATATTTTGTTAATGTTACGTGCCTGGCAGGTCCCAGATAAAATATCTAATGTAACCGACTTGAACAAGAGTCGCTTCCCATTGCCAGGGTTTCACTTGAGGGCTTCACAATAAAGTAGTTTTTTTAAAAAATAATAAAGGTAGTTTTTGAGTTTCAGCAAATCTGCGGCAATTAGTTGGCACAAACTTATGAAATGGGTAATGAAGTATTCTTGGATTGGTAGTGATGTGTTGAAAATGGTGGAAATTGAACAAACGCCCTGTTTTTATATATTTTTTCATTGACTACCATCATTTAATAATAAAAAATAATAATAATTTGGTCACTTCAATCTACGACTGTTTGTGGGACGCTGCTGTACCCAATTGGCTGCCACGTTCTGCCCACAAATATACGGTTAAATCACTTTACAGTATATTCTGTGAATCTCTTTGAAACGTCTAGAAGACGTGATAAGGCGCTGTATCAAATGCAAGAATTATTTATTATTGACCATTGTGCTGAGGCTATATTTCCAACTCAGTTTATAAAAGGTGCACATGTGGTGTACAAACTGTATAAACCATATAAAATCCCATTTAATCATTAACCTACACTGTGGATGTGTAATTCAATGCAGCTGGTAAGTGCCACGTAACAGAAGCCTACTGCTTCCCTCATCCACCACACTTTCTTGTTAAACTGATATTTTATAGATTGAATTTCCTCATTGAAATGCTGGTAATATCATTTAACACTTAAATCAGGTACATTTTATTTTGCAACATTTATAAGGTTATAAAACCTTATTGCTTGCACTTATGTTTTCTTCAAATCCACATTTTCTGGTCATCATTTAAATCCACTCCAGGTTTGTGCTTCCCGGGACCTTATTTATATTGCGGCCCACACTGTGGAGATTCACTGAGCCCGTATACACTAAAACATGTACAATCACGTATGCAAATACTACAACTACATCTCAAAAGCAATCTCAAGCTCAAACTTTAATTAGCTTATCTTCAGGTTAGCAGGAAGCAATCTCTGACCTCCCCAGCTGCCAGGTATAAATTAGGAATCCTTAAAACGTGTTCAATTACAAAAAAGGGCACAACTATATTACAAACCGCTAAGAACCTCCATGGGAGGTTTAATTGCACCGTGATGTTTGCATCTTAAACCAGTGGTCTGTGTGTGGCTTTGCTTTCTGCAGTAATACTGCTCAGGGTGCACCAATTTGAGTTGATGTTCACGAGGCTCTCACAAAACAGATCTCTGGAAATAAGGATAACCTTTAATTTCGCTGCATAAACAAAAGACTTCATCAATTAAAAGTTGAAATGAGCAAAATGAGCACAGCTGCCATTCGGGATATAACACAGATCCCACGAATTATTAGATTGCAGAGAAAAAACATACATCAATATGGTGTACGCAAGGCTGAAAATCTCACCACTAAGCTTCTGTGGACAAAACAAGATCTATTGCAAAAATGTCTGGTTATTTGATTTTGACATTGTATTCTGCAATCACAAGACTGCAACAAATTGATGTAATTTTCCATTCAATCAATGCAAAACCTTCTGTGTGACTTCAATACTCAGTTCAGGACTGTGGACTGTGACGTGACATCACCTCAGGAAGTCTCTCACACCAAGTCTCTGCATTGACTTGAGTTCATTTATTGTCTGAAAGCAATAATTTTTTTAAACGTTACTAAAATTAAGTTCAAAAGATCTTGGCTATTTAAACTTTACTGAAGAAACTTCATACTAGTTTAAACACCCATTAATGCAGCGTCAGACATGCATGTAGGGGCGCATGTCCAGAACATAAAGTTAAAGCCATGCAGAATCTGGAGGACAAAGTCACTTTGTGAACTTGCATCGCTCCACTCTAGGCACCACAGACCAAATTCTTTTGTCAGTCAAAAGAAGACCAACGTTCATCGAGTTCACCTTCCACCATCGTGGCAGTCACTTGACATCTCTCAAATTATATACTTGTAAAGGCTGGGTGTACATGCGGAATTCTCCCTTGCAGTAAAAGATGGGAAGGGGAGCGGAAGAAACAGTGGAAACTCGAGTTACATTAATAATAATAATAATCCTTGCATTTGATATAGCACTTTTCACGTCTGGAGGACGTCCCAAAGCGCTTCACAGAACACACTGTAAAGTGAATTGACTATATTTGTGGGCGAACGCGGCAGCCAATTGCGCACAGCAATGTCCCACAAACAGTCGTGGATTGAAAATGACCAATTTATTATTGTCTTTGGTTTTGGAGGGATTATTATTAGGCTCTGTGTGGAGTAAGGAAACTTGCCCAAGGTTTCGCCCTCTGCCTGGAATTGAACTCAGGTCTCTCACTTGCAAAGCGAGTGCTCTAACCACTGAGCTACAGGACTCCACTGTACATTACACTCCACATTAAGGAAGGTTATGTTGAAAGGTTTCATATCTCAGTTCTGTTGTAGTTGCAATTTCAATGTACAAAAGTAACATTGGTTTTGTTTTACAATTCTGACCCAAACACCTACCTATAAGTGTAACAAGTACGAGTTGAAGTACCATATAATGTATTGGTAATTTTGCTGAGTACATTATCAGCTAAAGTGTGGAATTAGCACAAATTGTTTCAGTCCCTGTACAATATTCACTGGATATTAATATAGATGGAGTTTCAAATGGCTACTTAGTACAGAAAATTTCTCCCACTTAGCACGATGCGCTTCATTAACTGAAATCATTCTAGCATTCTTCAAAGAGTCTACAACAGTGTTACAAGCAGTTAAGCCTATAATCATTCCTCTTCAATGTACAAGATGATAAACAAAAACCCTGAGAAAATGTAATCCTCCAAAGTGAGCCATTGGAGAGGCGAGAACGGTTTCTCTTCAATGGGTGTCACAAGACCACGTTGCCACAAGCAACTGTAATCCAGGAAGGCTTGGAAAACTAGTAAGAACATTTATACATGACTATGACTTTTCTGATAAGCAAATGTATTCTTTAAAATCCTCGTTCAGCAATTAATGATCAACACAAGTGGTTTCACCATCCAGGATGGATCTACACCGTCAACACAAGCAGCAGGTGAAGATCTGCTACTGTTATTATGCAGCTGTTGGACAGCAGGCTAACAACATAGACTCCGGTAAAATTAGTTCTGTATGAAGAAGGACCTGGGAGTTCACTTGACATTGGCACAAAACCTCAGTGAGCATCAGCATGATAGCACAGCACCAGATTATACTCAGTAACTGAAGCACAGAGAAATTCCAACATGAACCACACCAATAAAAGACTGGATATGATCCAGAATGGAAAGCGCTCGAGAGTTTGCAGCGAGGGTTTTTGCAGTTTAATCAGCGTACACCTCGCGGGAATCTTTTTCTGAAACCCATTTTCTTTTGCAAAAAGTAAATTTAAAAAATTGCTTACAAATGCAGCATCAGATGGAGGCTGAAAGCGTAGCTCATGTACTTGTGGAGGAAAAGGACACCCAGAATGTGCAGGTTTGGCACTTGTTCTTCCTCACAATGATCGGCTTCAATTGCTTGGTGCAGTAACACATGGCCTGCAACGAAAGATTAAAATGGTTAAAAATGAAGCAAAACAGATAAGGAAGAAATAGTTATCTGTACATTCAGCAGAACAGAAAAAAAGTTTTATTTTGGCATAAAAGAATGATAGTTAATGGGTAAAATTGGAATAATCCAATCACAGAAGCAACAGTAATGCTTTAAATGATGCAAAATAGGCAACAGATTTTTTTTTGCAGACAATTGAACATCTAAATTTTCATTTGAATGAGACGCCTGGTTTAATGCGGAAAAGTAATTACTTTTTTTCATACAATGGAGCAGATACATTTTGAGATACACTGTTTAACCTGCCGAGGAAATGAAAAATATCTAAGTTTTGTTCATAAAAGTGAATGTTCATATATTCCTTTCACCACAAAATACAGTTAATTCACTTTACACGAGCGCTTTGAGACGTTGAAGACATGATAAGGTGCTATATCAAATGCAAGGATTATTACTGTAATAATAACACATGATCATCCATAGCAAGCAAAGATTTTCACAAGGGACCAAATCATGGCAAAGTGGAATTTTTCTTTATTATTCTTTAAGAAAATATAACAAGGCTTATTGCTGGGTGGGCAGTCATTTTCGTGTCAAGCACTAAGCAAACCACTCAAAATGTGACTTTTGACCTAGGTACGTACACACATGGCTTAATGTTGCTGAAGAGATTCTACTTAAATTAGGACGGGTTGCTATTAATCACACCTTCTGCCAATTTTCCACAAGTCACGGAGCAGCGCGAAAGTTAATTTGAAGGTAGCTTTAACACTGCATAATTAAAAATGGATTTTTTTTAAACAAATCATTCCTGCAGAAACCAGTTGGAGTAAAGAATACAAGAAAATAAGCAAAACCATCTATAACTTCTTACTGGTCTTTCCCCAAGATTGTAACAGTTGAATTCTCTGTTTTTGGGAAGGGGGGGATTGGTACACTCCAGTGGAATGAAAGAAAGTTTTACAGAACCACTTATTTTGCCTATTTCTTATTGTTAAATTTGGTGGGCTGGCCAACTCAATTGGTTGTAATATTCACTTTGAGGTTGTGTTTACTCTTATCCGGGTGTAAAGCTGCTGTGGTTGCCTTGAGTTCCATTATTCATTATGATCAGAATCACAGTACTTGAGAGGATTCCTACATTCTCTCACTAAGGGTGTAATATTTTACATTGTAAAGGTCTTAAGAACACTAGCTATTAATCCACTGTATAAGTGCATAAAACAGCTGTCCTCAAAAATAGAAAATATAATAATGTTACTATTGAGCAATGAGGTTTCAAAAGAGCACGCTTACTGTACTTAACTGAACGCAGCAGCCTGTGACAAGTTTGTAATAATTTACAGCTTTTCTATATGTTGCAATGTACAATTCCCTCTTGTTAAAAGACATCGGCAACAGAGAAAGGGGAATGAGACACACAGCAGTAAATTGCCATTGTGACTGAAAGAGATTGGGACATCAAGTTGCAGGTTCCCTAGGGTACAAATGACTGTGGACTGTGATGTGCAGCCAAAATTTCCATCTGTAAAGCACATTAGTGTGTGAGTGTAACAAGTGAGGGATCTGGCAAAGAAACCAAAACGAACGGAAGGCTGTTTGAAGGTGAGAAAACAAATGGAAAAGGCAACCTGAGAAAAAACTGTTTTCCAAAATTAGGAAGTTTCGTCCACAAAATATACAGTCAACTCACTTTACAGTATATTCTGTGAAGCGCTTTGAGACGTCTAGAAGCCATGATCAGGTGTTGTATCAAAAACAAGGATTATTATTATTACAAGAGGGAATTGACATTATAAAACTTTTTTATTGTTAGACATTTTAAAACATGTTCAATCAGTGAAGCTACATTAATACTTTTGGGAAAGGATTTTCAACATGACAATTAAAATAACATCCCTTTTGCAAAGCTGCTCTTGAGACAGCTGAGGTGATCCTGAAATCACACCCGTGACAAATGCCCAACAGAGAACAAAAAACAATTCAATGCAACTTTCTCTTAGTCTCCAACTTTGAAATCTTCTTTCTTCATACCTATTTGTTGTAACTGCTGTTTTATTTCTACTGATAATAAACTCTTCGGTGTCACCCATGATGACAGAACTCATCTTTGAGCAGTTACATGGGTCTGACATTTGATATCAGTGAAAAAAATTTTCTTCTTTCTTATTGAATCTAAATATAGGAATGCATCATAACTTATACTTAATTTAATGAGTCTTACTTTTTTCTGTTTTGCAATACCAAGGTCACAATCTATTAACTTAAGTTAAGTATTAACTTAAGTTAACTATTAACTTAATAAACAATAATCTATTCCATCTTTTTTCTACCTTTTAGGTAAAACACATTAAAAAAAATTCCTGTAATAGATTTGGTGAAACAGAGAAAGGTAATTTTGGTCAATCGGCATCTGAACGACTGATGAGAGAGTTGGTGAAGTTATTCAAATGCTTGTGAGACCAGATGTCTAAATTTACTTAGCATTCGACTTACAGAAAGTCTATTGAGAGAACGTTACCAGTTCAAAGAACTGCTCAGAGGAATGAGAAAGTCTACAGAGGAAAGCCAAACAGGAAGTTGATGTTTGGGTAGTTTTCAATGTGTGTGGGAAATGCTTTGAGTGTTCCAAGATACTATCCTGAGTAAAAGGCGCTCCATAAATATAAGTTGTTCTTTTGAGAACCTTCTTATAATCACTGGAGTTCTGCAAGAAGAGGCTCCTTTGCTTTCCCTTCCCCACACCCCCACCCCAAACTTGCTTTGCATCCAGAGCAAAGTAACTTGAGACATGAGAAGTTTGAGTCAGGTCTCAGGATGCTAAGATGTCAATACAGGCTCAATAAATTGGGTAACTAAGATTTTCAAATTCATAAGTACTTATTTATGTCTTTAAACCAAGGCCACTACTTGAAAAGAAAAAGAACTTTCTCTTGGAGTCACGGCCAACAAATACCCCAGATAAAATTGATCACTAACTTCATGGGCATTTGTCGGACATTGCTGTGCTTGTGAATCAATTGTTGGGTGTCCTGCAAAATCCTACACCTTGTAAATCCTGTGAAGCGCTTTGAGGTATCCTCCCAAAGTGAACATCACTATATCAAGAATGAGCATGATTATTACTGGTAATATCTGCTGCTCCACCAGGTGCAGCGATGGCTTTTCAACGCAATGTGTGGGGATAGATAGTGTCTCAATGTTAACTGCAGAGGAAAATCAGATAAGGAGCTTCTGAATAGAACAATATACCAACAAATACTGGCATCAAATTTCTCCGCTTTCCTACTTTATATTGAAGTATTGTTTTTTCACCTCTCGTCGGTTATCTAATCCTGTCCAAACTGTTACACATCAGTAAATCTGTATCATAAATTACTATTATTTCAATGCATAATTCATTCGAGAAAATGCCTAATTAGAAACCTAATATAACCAGCCAGCCTATGAAACAAGATCCATCGGTCTGGAGGTCCTTGGTTTAATATTTTGCTAGAGTTACATTTTGATTGAACTAAGACAACAGCAACTGCCAAGAAGACAAGAAAATATATCACAGCAGGTATCCAATGCTACTTAATTTTCCCCACCACAAATCACTGCCACAAAGAAGATGATCGAATAATTAAGATAGAGAAAAAGTCTGAACTTCACACTTATCATTATAACTAATGTGTCAGGCAAATGTCATTACTATAAATGTAATCCTTTGAGAATGAAGACCTATTGAAAAATATTTGGCACTTGAAATGAACTGTGTTACATATCAAGTAATGATGGGCAACATATAACACTTGTAGGCTGATTTTACAGAGAAAAATAATCTCCAAGACCAATAGACAGTACTTTTCAATTAACATTCAACTTGGGCTCAGCTCAAATTAATGATAAAACAATTTTCATTAGACAACCTTCCAAATTTTTGTTAAATGTGAATATCAAACCCCAAGCAAATGGGAGATTAAATCATTTCAATGATATGGTAAGTCTTAAATCTTTTCATTACACTTTGATGAATGGGCTAAAATTAAACAAGGGAAACAACATTTAAATGACAAACTAAGAGTACTGTTTTGACCTGGAATAATTACTTAGCTTTCAAACTTCATTTGAAATTAAGTAGCGCAACTGATTAAGGAATGTTTAACCGGCTGAAAATATTGTAGGAACTTTGTGGTATTTTGACGGTATTGCATCTTATGGGTAACATTGGTGATAAATTTACTCTAAAATCTGTGGCGCAATGCAAACTAATAAAAGCTTTCAATTGCACCAGGTTTATAAAGTTCCAGTTACACTCTATGTGCAAACATTGTACAATTTTTCCAACTACAGCAAGTTGCCCATCAAAGTGACAAGAAAGCTTTCTAACCGTCAAGAAGTGGAGGATTTGCGAGGTCTTCTGAGCATGTGACACCTGCTTGGACTAAAGCATCATTTTGGAAATATCTGGTATGTTTAGATATTAAATGGAGAGGTTTTGAGGTTATAAATTGAGAGCAATTTATATCCAAAGTTCATCTGAATATGAAGTGGAACTTTTGATTATCCAATCCAAGTTATTGGGCTTCCTGATCAGCCACCTTAATGCTCTTCTAGAAAGGCTCCCAGCCTTTGTTAGCCTTCCTGAGTCTGGGCCCACACAATAATAATAATAATCCTGGGATTTGATACAGCACCTGATCACGTCTTCGAGGCGTCTCAAAGCGCTTCACAGAATATACTGTAAAGCAAATTGATTGTATATTTTGTGGGCGAAACGCGGCAGCCAATTGCGCACAGGAGTGTCTCTCATACAGTCATGGATTGAGTGACCACATTTTTTTATTACTATTTTACTTACACCCTCACCCCCACACACACACACACACACTACCCCACCCCCCGTCAACTCACATACAACATCTCGCTTGTCCAAACTAAGACTAAATCTCATTGTCAAACGAAAAACATTTGTTGAGGTTAAAATTGAAATTCCATACCACAT